TTATTCTGTTGTGAGTGGCAGAAGGCAATACCCAGGAGGCTAAGGAAAAATTGCATAGGCTTTGAAATGCCACATAAGGCTTTGTATTTGATCCTAGAAGCAGTCAGGAGACATGGCTGAAATTTCTTTTCAATTCATTTTTTTAAAATTCAGTTTTATTTTTCTCCCTCCCATCTTCCCCTCCCTGCCTCCGAGAAAGGAAAACAAAACAAAACAAAACAGAAAAAAAACCTGTTACAAATGTTTATAGTCAAGAAAAGCAAATTCCCATGTTGGCTGTGTTAAAAAAAAAATTTCAATCTGCCCTCTCAGTCTATCATCTGTCCATCTGGAGATAGATGGGATGTTTTAACATGTCAGCCAATTAAAAGACTCTTTATTTCCACAAAACCAACCCCTCCGACATTCATGACTGGAAGGAGGCTGGACAAGCAAGCGTCCATGTGTTGGATTGGTAACAGGAACAGAATATCAGGACTTCTCTGTATAATTCACCTGTAAGGGCAAATTCTCTCATGCCCTTAAACCCTAGACTCTCACTGGTCAGCCCCCATTACATTAGCACACCAAAGCTAAACTAAATATTAATATACAAGTTGCTGTCATTGTCAGTACTGTCAAAATCTATATTTTATATATGAAATTTTGTATGAGAAATGTCTATAGGAAAATGAAAAAAAAATTCCCAGAAACATGTCTCCAATGTCCTCAGTGATGAGAAGTATTAGCTAAAACAAACTGATGGGGTCTGGACATATGCCAGACCCCCATTACATACGTATATACATATATATAATGTACATAATGTATTTCAACACTTACAACCATTTTATTGCTATTTTACACAAATCATTTAACATCAGTGATATATCTATCACATTGTTTATTTTATGATGGATTTATTTTTATTAATATTGATTATAATTTTTTAAAAATTAGAGCCTTACTACCGTGGTAATTTTAATATACTATATGGTAGAAATCCTACCATGGTATTGTCAGATTATGATTTCTTAGATATGACTTGATTACTACTTTTTAATTATTTTAAATATGTGCTATAAAAGTCATAAATATGTCTATTCTTAACAGTTTAATATCTGATATCTCTTCTATCTTGGGACAATAATGGATTTTAGGAACAGAGAAGTAGAATAAGAACTTACTCCATACCATGTATCTATCTATTTATCTGTTCATATCTATCACTCATCCTATTTGAGCTGTCTAGTTGGCAGTTGGTGATGAGGAAGTAAGGTTCAGGGAAGACACTGGGTTGGACATATTATCAATCTGGGCAAGAGTGTGTTGGAACCAGTGGAAGAAGGGTGAGCATTTTTAGTGTAAGCATTTATACCTTGAAAACTGATAAATGCTACAGATTACGGCTTAGTTGGTTGTCTTGTTGAATTCTAGACTTAAGAAAGTGATGGCGAAAATGTCAATAATGCAAACTACACTTAGATGTAGTATCTACATCCTCTCCCAAGAGCTGGTTGTTAAACATTTACCAGCACACCCTTGGATATGGAAGTTATCTACATAAAACTGATAACTGGATCCATGAAAGAGCAGGGGTTATTAACCTTTTTTTTTTTTTTTTTATCATGGACCCCTTTGACAAGCTGGCAAAGCCTATGGCAGGCTTACACAAGATACGGCCCGCAGCTGGCTCCTGGGCCTGCAGGAGGATTTCCAGTGGCACTCGAAAAATGTAGGGTTGTCATGTGACCCACGGCAACCAACCATCTTCAGTCTGTCTATAGTCTAACCTACCTGTGACCCAAAGAAGTTTAGCTATTTTAATTCTAGCCCCTACCTACTGCCAGGTTGTGCAGGTCTGGCCTATGGTGACACTTATCCTTAGAATGATGTTTTTAAATACTGTAATTGAAGGAAATACTAAATTTCAGTTAGAGGTTGTTACTGAAAATAAAAATAGAATTTTTCTTTCTTTCCCATTCAAGGTCACAGGCTCCCTGGAATCTATCCCTAGGTTAAGAATCCCTGACCTAGAGAAAGAGTAGAGGGGTGAGAAGAGGTACCAGGACAGAGCCTTGGGCTACACCCACACTTAGACCTTCTGGCAAGGATAATGATCCATCAAGGGGAAGGGGCAGCTGGGTGGTGCCATAGTGCACAGAATGCTAGACCTGGAGTCAGGAAAACTCATCTTCCTGAGTTCAAATCCAACCTCAGACACTTACTAGCTGTGTGACCCTGGGCAAATCACTTAATGCTGTTTGCCTCAGTTTCCTCATCTGTAAAATGGATTGGAGAAGGAAATGGCAAATCACTCCAGTATCTTTGCCAAGAAAACCCCAAATGGAGTTATGAAGAGTCAGACATGACTGAACAACAACAAAGGGTGGGGGAGTAGTCAGACTAGTAGGATGAGAAACAAGAAAAAAGCAGTGCCTTAAAAACCTCTGGAGTAGAGGAGGTAGCAAATGGAGTCAAATACTGCAGAGATGTCAGGCACATTTCAGCTTGAACAGATCTGTGCTTTAGGAAAATCAAATTGGCAGCTGTGCAGCAAACAGATTGAAGAGGGTATGGAAAATCATTAGCTGGCTGCTGTTAAAGTCCAGGAGATAACCGAAGAGGGTAGATAGCTCTAATTAGAGCTTAATTAGAGCTATGCCAAAAGAATAATAGGATGTCAGAGCTGGAAGAGACTTTACTGACCCTCTGTATCAACCCCTCTATTTTATAATAGGTGAGATTAGGGCCCAAAGAGGTCATAGAATCACAGAATTTGGAAGGGCAAATCATCTTGTTCTTATCCTTTATTTTATAGAGGAAACTAAGAGGTTGGAATTGGGTCTGAGTTTGGTATTATCAATATTATTCTGGTTTAGGGTTAATATTGGAATTCTAATTAAAGTTATCCTGGAAATGTGGGCATGAGCAAAATCCACTATCTAGGCTAGGCTAAAAGTTACTGAAACTGTCCTGAAGACTCTATTGACTTAGCACTAAGGCTCCTGCTTGAACTTGATGTTACTTTCTTGTGGCCTAAATATAAAAGTCAGCCTGGGAGGAGGCAGGAAGTTGCTTCTCTCTCTCTCTCTTTCTGTCTCTGTCTCTATTGGTCTCTCATCGTGGGCAATAAAGGGGCAAGGAATCTGAGGTCAACCAAATCAATGCTGTGAATGCTGTGTCCTTGCCAAGTATCCTTTCAATGCCATGACCAAGAAAAACTTCTTTTAATAATCATCAAACACTCTAGGAGTGTCTCCTTGTGTTCCAATTCTGAACCTGAAGAACCAGACAGGCCTGAAATGAGTATATGGCAACACCTATTTTACAGATGAAGAAAGTAAAACTAAATTTCCCCAAGGCTACAGAAGCCACAACTTGCAGCTCATGTTCCACTTCTCATCTCCCATATCCCTTCCAGTAGGTAGGCAGCTCACATAATTTAATGTCAACCAGCCTTAATTTCCTCATCTGTAAAATGGGGATCGTAACAGAATCTACTTTAGAAGGTTGTGAAGATCCAATGAGATCTCTCTCTCTCACACACACACACACACACACACACAAAATCTCTTACCTCCCACTTCCTCACCCACCTTGGACTTTGGATGGGGTTACAGTGAGTGTTAGGGTTGGGGCTAAGTTTGAGGTCAGGGTTCACTATGGAACTCGCATTAAGTTTGAGGTTAGGATTATGAGATTAGGGTTAATGTCAAGTTTAAGGTTACGTTTGGGTTAAGACTAAGGTTGGAGTTGAGATTGTGTTTTTGATTGATGCTGTCCCCAGAGGCAAGCAGTGCAAATAAGTATCAGGCACATCTTAAAGTCTACAAACCTCATTACCTATAGGCTACCTCCTATCCCTTACCTCAACCCTCTCATCTCCCATAACACTTTGTTCACAGCCCTGATCCATTCTGATGTCATTTTCTATCATATGTATATGCATGTTATCTCCATATAATAGAATGAAATAAGAACATGCTACATGCAGCATATTAGTGTGCCTGCCTTCTTCCTACAGCCGCTCCAGAATTGATTATTGTATTTTTTATCATCTCAGCCAACTTGATATGAAACCTTAGAGCTAATTCAATTTACAAAATGAAGTTGTGAACCTGCTTTCTATTGAGAGGGAAACTGCAGAGATGGGAAATGAGTCACAAAGAAACAAAGAAATCACACACGCGCGCGCACACACACACACACACACAAAATTCAAAGTCAAACCCAGGGCTCCCGACTCCAAATCCAGAGCTCTTTCCACTTGGATACTCTGGTACTGGTCTAAGTTAGTGATTTGGAGGACAAAAAGGCAGTATAAGGACCGGTTGACCGACTGGACAAAGTACTGGCCTCTAAGTCAGGAAGACCAGGATTCGAGTCCTTCCTTTGACACATTCTAGCTGTATGTGACCCTGTGCACCTTTCTTATCTTCTCAGTATCTTTGCCAAGTCTCTAAAAGTGTTGGGTGGATCAGCTCTGCTGTTTTTTTTTCCTTCGCTAAGCACCTGGACACAGCCTCAGCGGAGTGTCCCTTAGGGTGGTATTCATGCCTCCCCTGTTAGGCCAGGTCCTGGATCCAAGAGCACACACAATGCAGGGGTGTGTGTGTGTGTGTGTGTGTGTGTGTGTGTGCGTGCGTGTGTGTGTGAGACTCGGTTGCACACTCTCGACCCCCCGCTGTGCTTACCACAGCCACGGCAAAGAAGCCACGTGATAGGGACCCCCCCCCCGCGAGGTTGCACACAGCCACGCGAGCGTGTGCGTGAGTGGGGGGTGGTGAGGTAACGGTGTGTCTGCGTGTGAACGTGTGACGGGGCGCATCTCCTCCCACCCCTTCGGAGGACCGCAAGGGATCCGGTCCGGTCTGGTTGCATCGCTCTGGGTCCCTCGGTGGCTCCCCAGTACTGCACAGGGTCTTCCCGCTTCCCGGTCTTGCTGGGCTACGCCCTCCGAGGCAGGGCTTGCAGGGGCCGGGCCGGAACTGCGTTGTTGCTGGTGCTCCAGCCCTTCCCCGTCAGTCTGGCCATGGGTTCGTTGCTCCCGCCGCTCCTGCTGCTGCAGTCCCTGGGACTTGTGTTCCTGGGCCTCTGTCCGGAGCCAGGTCAGTGCCGGCGCCCTAAGCTGCGGCGGGAGGGAGGGCAGTGGGAGGCTTGGAGCCCCTGTACGAGAGGTGCCTGCGAACTTCAGCCCCACACCCCCAGCCCCAGCTCCTCTCCCTACCACCGGGCACCCCCCCAAATTCCAACTCATACGATCCTTAAGTTGGAAGAAGCCTTGGATCATACGATCTTGGGTCTAGAGCTGGGAGGGACTAGAGGTTCTCAACTCCAACTCCTTCATTTTACAGATGAGGAAACTGGGACCCAGGGAAGTGCAATCGCTTGCCCAAGGCCGCACACGTTGAGCCGGATTCGAAACCCTAGCCGCAGAGTCCAAATCCAGATCTTTTCTCCACTGGACCTTGGCTGCTTCCCTTGAATTTGTATGACAGTGTAATATATAGTATATATAGTATAGTATAGTATATATAGTGTAAAGGAGCTCAGTTCAAACCCAACTTTGGACACTTAACTAGCTGGGTGACTGGCCAAGTTGAGGAATGTCTCAGTTTCCGAGTCTGAAAAATGGGGATATTAATGGCACCTACCTCCCAGGGTTGTTGTGAGGATAAAATGAAATGGATTTGAAGTGCTTTGCAAACCTTAATCTTTGCATGTTCTAATTCTCTCTCTTTTAAAGATACAGTCACTTTGGATGTTTGTTACTTTATATTTAAGAGAGAATACAACATAGCAGAGACAGTTTAAACTAGGGTTACATGTGTATATTCAAACTTCTCATCTTACTCTTTTTCAGCCTAACTGGTTACTCCATGTCCCCAGAACACTCCTCTTGCTTAAACTGTTCCTTATACCTAGAAAATCCTCCTTCTTCCTTTTTCCCTAACCCTTTGCATGCTTTAAAGTGTAGTTCAATAGCCCCCTCCCTCCAGGAAATTTTCCCTAATTTCCTCTCTCATTCTCACTCCTATTTTCCCCTTACCTCAAATAGCATTTTTTTGGGGGAAACTCTCAAGGTAGTGATCAAAAGAATATGATCTATAATAATTATTTGTTTGTGCCTTTTGGGTAGTGAGTTCCCTGGTACTATGTCTCATCTACACTGTGTATTTTTTTTCCTAAACAAAATTTTTTATTGATAATCTCTTTTCTTCATGACTCCTTCCCCCATAGAACCATCCTTTGCAACAAACAAATTTTGTTATGTTGTTTCAGTTGTGTCTGACTCTGTGACTGCAACAAACAAATACAACTATGGGCAACAAAGAAATACAACTATGTACAATGGGTATCATATTGCTTGCCTTCTCAATGGGTGGGGGAGGGGTTAGAGGGAGGGAATTTGGAACTTAGAATAAAAAAATTAATGTTAAAAAATAAATATAATTTTTTAAAAAGTAGGGACAAACAGAATTAAACTTTGTACCTCCCTTAGCACCTAATACAGTACTCAAGCACACTGTAGGCATCGAATAAATATTTATGAATGAATGTATGAATGAATAAATGATTTGCTCCTTGCATTATATTTATTTTATTATAGCTCAGGTTAGCTCTGTCTTTTATCTTGCAGGCAATGGGCAAGATAACAGCATGGTCCAGCTGCCAGGTGGGACATTCCAGATGGGGACAAATTCCCCAGATGGCAAAGATGGGGAAGGGCCCACTCGTGAAGTAACAGTGAAGCCCTTTGCCATTGACAAATACCCTGTCACCAACAGAGATTTCAGGTATGGTGCCCACTTTGCTGGTCAGGGCACTCTTCTCACTAATCCTCCTCTTTCTTCACCTACACATCTACTGGCAAAAGGACACGTTTTTTTTTTTTTAAAGCACTTTCACATTTACCATTTCATTTCACCTTTATTTTCATAACACCATAAGGATGCTATTGTTTCTCCCCCTTTTATGAGACAAATATATAAACCAGGGAAGGATAAAGCAAAGAAAGACAACTATAGGCCATTATCATTGATGACTACAATTAAAAATTTTAGGATTTGGATAAGGAAATTAAGAAATTTTAAGGGACTTGAATGAATGCATGAATGAATGGAAAAAAAGCATTTCTTAAGTGTTGTGCTAAGTGCTGGAAATAACTATAACTTCAAAAATGAAAGTCTTGTCATCTTATAGCTTATATTCTAACGGGGGAAACACAACATATAAAGGGAAGTGGTGGCCAGGAAAGGGAGTTTTGGTCTGGGGAATGGGCATGGTAGGGAGAACCTTAGGTCAGCCATTTCCAGAAGCAATGGTGATAGCAATTCACTGACCGTTCTTGAGAGAAGGAGATGTGAGAGAGTGGCAGAAAAGGATACAAGATGTACCAGATGGATGGCTGGGTGGGATGTGAAGCATTGTCTGGTCTAGTGCCTTCTGGGTAGAGTGGGCTAGGTGAGTTTTCACTTATTCACCAATCAACACAGCTTAACCCCAAGGCAGAAGTTCTGAAACAGAGTGGACTGACTGCCCTAGGGCCTGAAGGTCACTTTGAACTTGCCCAATGTGTCCTAGAGAATTCTTAGGAAAGAAGCCAAGTGTTCTGACTGGCTGGCTGGTGTACTTAACATGGGCACAGCACTGAGGGGCCTGGGCAAAGGACAGAGAGTCCTTCGTTCTGCTTGGCAGAAAGTCCCTGTCAGCCCAGCGGCTGACACCAGAGGTCAGGTGGATTGAGAAGGAATACCAAGGCAGACTAAAATCTGGACTGAGGGGTTGATGGGCCTTGGCTTCATCAAAAGCTTGTCCAGATTTTAGAAAGCCTCTCTAAGAAGAAGGAAAAAGACCATATCACATACCAGCAGTTATACCAGGAATTCAAGGGTAGATCAATAGAAGGTAAACAATCAGCATATTTAATCATATTTAATCAGTAAAAATAAAAATATCCAAAATGCCTTCATGCTTTTCCATCTCAAATAATAGCCCTCCCCCACACACATATAGTGCCTAAAGGTTTACAGAGTTTTTTCCTCTTGTCCTGCTAGTGTTATTCTCATTTTCCAGATAATGAAACTGTTTAGCTGAAATAGGGGAAGAGACTTGCCAGGACCAAAAGCTGCTATCAAATGGCTAAGCTGGAACTTGAATCTGGAGCTCTCCTAATTTTGAGTCGAGCAGTTCTTTCTACCAGCAGTGTCTTAATGAAGTGCCCTTGAGAACCAGCTCGAATGTTGCCTGCTCCATGAAGCAGGAAACTGACTTTCCTGGCCACCACTTCCCTTTATATGTTGTGTTTCCCCTATTAGAATGTAAGCTGTAAGATGACAAGACTTTCATTTTTGAAGTTAGAGTTATTTCCAGCACTTAGCACAACAAACACTTAAGAAATGCTTTTTTTCCATTCGTTCATTCATGCATTCATTGAAGTCCCTTAAATCTCTCAACTTCCTTATCCAAATCCTAAATCCTAATCCCCTTCTCTGTACTTCACCCCTAGCAAGCATGATTTTGAGTGTACACAAACACACACACACACAAATAGAAAAGAGATCTTTGTTGTTGTTCAATTGTGTCTAATTCTTTGTGACCTCATAGACCATTATGCACCAATACTGTCCATGGAGTTTTCTTGGCAAAGATACTGGAGTGGTTTGCCAATTTTTTCTCCAGAGGTAAACAGAGGTTAAATGACTTGCCCAGGGTCACACAGTCAGTCTGTTGCCACATTTAAACTCAGGTCTTCCTGACTCCAGGCCCAGTGCTCTATCCACTGAGTCACCTAGATGCCTCTAAAAAACAAATCTAATAAACCTTATAGAGTCTTTGAAAATGTTTTGTACCACCTCTCTCATGATTCTTCTAGTGTGTCATACATTTCTTTTGTTCCTATGACCCTCTACATTGTGTTATAATTACTTGTGTACACATCTCATCTCCTGTATCAGACTGTATGCCGCTTGATGGCAGGAACCAGGTCTTAACCATATTTGGATCCTCACTGTGGATTCAGCACGGTGCCTTGCATTTAAGAGGCACTCAGGAAATGTTTGTTGAACAAATGAATTCGGAAACGTTAATGGTGAGCCAGACCAGCATTTCTCCTCCCAGGGAATTTGTGAGACAGAAGAAGTATCTGACAGAAGCTGAATCATTTGGGTGGAGTTTTGTCTTTGAAGACTTAGTATCTGATGAGCTGAAAAAGAAAGTGACCCAGAAGCTGGAGGTAAGAGGGATTAGTGGTGGGTGAGTAGGCGGACACAATGAGCAGGGCAAGAGCTAGGGAAGAGAATGGAGGCAGGGGTGGGCCTGGAACTGGCCCATACTGAAGAATCAGATCCTAGAATCAGGTACAGGGGAGCAGCTGAGACCCTCGGCCTCACTTCCTCCGTCTAATGAAACCTAAAGTCTCTTTTGGCCCTAATTTTATGCATCACATGATGGGAGGTCAAGGGGTAGAAAAAGAAACCACACATATACCCAATAGCTCCCTGAGCTCATTCCCATTTTCTTCAACTTGGAAGGGAGAAAGTGGCTCAGTGAGAAGCAAAGAACTCCATGAGATTTGAGAATGATAAGGCCTGTCAGAGGTCATCTGGTTTAGACCCTCTATCTAGACAAACCTATCTTTAAGGGGAGCCTACGCAAATGTAGAGGAGGGAAAGCTGACTTCTTTAAAAGATCTTCAGGAAGGAGGATGCTTCAGCCTTGCTCAGCACCATCAGCATCCTCATATTGAGTTCTCAGTTTTTGTCCCATAGCCTTGGTTTTGAGCTGGATGAGGTCTGGGGTGGGGTTAGAAGGTGGGAGGCCAGTATGTGAGGAGCCAGGACAGCTCAGTTGGTCCTCTTGTCTGTTTGCAGTCTGCACCCTGGTGGCTCCCAGTGGAGAAGGCATTTTGGAGGCAGGTGAGCTTGGCTCCTCACTTCCCATCCCTCTAAGCCCTCCCCCATGTGGTCCCATTCTGGAAGCCTAACCTTCTTCTATCCCCAGAAACAAAAGCCTAACATGGATGACAGAATAACTCAGGTGAAGCATTTGAGCCAAAGGATCTGAGTCTGAAATGTAGCTGCTTGTTGATTAGCTGTGTGACACGAGGCAATTTACTTGGCCTTCCCTGGGCCTCAGTTTCTTCCTTTAAGAGATATGGAGGTTGGACCACATGATTTTTAGGGTCCCTTCCAGCTTTAAATTCTGTTATTCTTTGATTAAATAGTCAGTGCTTACCCTGAGACAAATGTTCTTTCTCATCCTAGTCTCCTGGTATCCTAGTTTGGACCCCAACTGTGCCACTTAGTGCCTGTGTGACTTTTGGCAAGTCACTTTGCTTTTCTGGGTCTCACATTCATCATCTGTAAAGCGAGAGAGTTGCACTCAGTGATTTCTAAGTTCTGAAGCTTCCAACCTGTGACCCTTCCTTTTCTCCCTGTTTCCTCATCTGCAAGATAGGAGGAACAAAATAGTCTGATGGCCTGCTAACAGGTTGGTTGTGTCAGAAGCACTCTGGAAACCTGAAAAGTCTATGGAAATGGGCTATGGGTATCTCCTTTCTGTTGCCTCTCATCCCTCAACACTTTTTCTCTTCCTCTCCTTCATGGTTCTATGGGATAGTGAAGGCCTAGCCCAGCAGTCCCTCCTAAACATCACCTTAGGAATCCTGTCCATCTCCAGGTATCTCCCCTTCCTCTTCCTGCCCAATCAGCCTGCAGGTCCAGGCTCTGGCATCCGAGATCGGCTAGACTTCCCCGTGCTGCATGTGAGCTGGAATGACGCCCAAGCTTTCTGTGCCTGGAGAGGCAAGAGGCTGCCCACAGAGGAGGAATGGGAGTTTGCCGCCCGGGGAGGGCTGAAGGGTATGTCAGTCTTCCCCCATACAGTGACAAGCTCTGACAAGGGATGAAAAGCAATGGAAAGAGGTCTGGGTTTGGGTCAGAGTAGCTGTGTAACATTGGGCAAGTCACATAACCTCTCTGAGTCTGTTTCCTCATCTGTACAATGAGGGGATTAGAGTAGATGGTTATCTAAGTTCCCTTCCTGTTACATTCTTATGATTTATGTATGCCCAGCTCTCCCCTCTTCTCATCATTCCATATGAGCTACTGTACCCATAAATGCTTTCCCTCCCCAAAACACAGCCTTGGTGGGTAGGGCAGTCTTCCAAGGGGATATTCAGGAGGCTGGTGCATATAGTTTAATACGAAGAATCTTGTCAGTTCTAGCTCTGTTGTTTCTCTCACATCCATCCCCTTTCTCCACCCACATGGCCACCACCCTAGTTCAGGCTTTTACCTCTTGTCTGGGCTATTGAAATAGCCTCATAACTACTTCCAGTCTTTCCCTATCCAAATTATCACACACAGCTGGCAAAATAATCTTCCTAAGGCACCAGTCTGATCATGTCACCCCCCTACTCAAACACCTTCACTGGCACACCATTATCTATAGAAGAAAAATCTGTACTTCTTAGCCTGGCAGTTAAGGCCCTCCACAATCTCCAGTTGAATTGAATGAAGAACCAGGACAGATAACATCCTCTCTCCTCTTCTCTCTTCTTCTCTTACCCTTTCCCTCTTTTTCTACTTCTCCCTCTCTTCTCCCCATCCTCTCCCCTTACTCCTTTCCTTACTACTTGCTCATAATTTCCCCTTGACTCTCCCTCTCACCTTTACCTTCCGTTCCCTCTTTCCTTCCCCCTTTTACCATTTCCTTCCTCTTGTCCTCATCTCCTTCCTCTCCTGATTTTTTCTTTTTTTTTTGTCCCTTTCTTCATCTCCTTTCTGTCAGGTCGATTGTACCCCTGGGGGAACCAGTTCCAGCTGAACCGCACCAACCTGTGGCAGGTAAGGCTCCCCATCCTCTCCTCTCCTAAGGCAGAGGCTCCTGTGATCTGGGGCCAGAAAGGTCTCCCCTTTGGTTCTCCTTGAACACTCCCAGCAGGTTAGGGAGGTGGCAGCCAAGGGAGTACTGAGGTGGGAGAAGAGAGGAGCTCCTAAGTCTGAGACCTAAACTTAACCCCACTCCCAGCAAATGGCTGGCTGGCCTGGTCCTGGCCTGCCTATTCACTCACAGGAAAGCCCTGACACTGACTTCTTTCTTCTCAGGGCAAGTTCCCCCAGGCTGATACAGCTGAGGATGGTTTCCATGGAGCCTCGCCTGTAGATGCTTTCCCTCCCCAAAACAACTATGGTAAAGCCAGCCAATCAAGATGCCACTCCAGGCCCTAGCATGTAGTTCCACAGATTCTCCAGCTTTTCTCCCCACATGGGTTAGGCTTACTCTTATGGATCTGTAATCGTGGGGGCCCCAAGTTATTCCTGGAAGAGAAGATTCCCAAACCTTCTATCCTTCCCCTTTCCCAGAGAGTGGGTGGAGGGTGGTGTTGGGCTGCCAGGCACAGTCTTGACCACTGAACTGAGTCTACCACCATTCATCAGGACTCTATGACCTCATGGGTAACGTGTGGGAGTGGACAGCATCGATGTATGGAACTCCCTTCCCTGGCCAAGACAGGAAGGTTTTGAGGGGAGCATCCTGGATTGACACAGTAGAAGGTTCAGCCAACCACCGGGCCCGAGTCACTACCAGGTAAGAACATGTTCCCTATTCCAGGGAAGGAGAGGGGCCAGGAATTTCTTCTAGAGATGTAGTAGAAAGGGTGCTGAATTTGGAGACAAAGGACCAAATATGAACCTTGGATTAGCCACTTACTACCTGTTTCACCTTTCTGGGTCTTGGTTTTTCTCCTTTGCAAAATGAGGGGCCTGTGCTGGATGATGACTACTGAGGTCCATTCTAGAATCATGATCCTGGAGACCCAGCTTTCCTGGTCAGTCTAGTGAAGTTGGGGAGAAAAAGTTTTTTTTTATCCAGCTTAGAATGGAGGGGCTTTAGGTCCCATGTTCATATTATTCAGGCTTTGGCTTTTTGTCCTGCCTTCTGATTCTCCACTTTACTCTTGTACAAGAGAAGGGTAAGGAGGGAATATACCACATCAATATATTGAGGTAAGTCAGTGGCTCCAATAAGGTCAGTGGTCATAAAACTACCAAATTTAGAGCAAGAAGGTACCTTGAGAGCATTTAGTTTAACCTCCTCATTTTACAAATGAAGAAACTGAAACCCAGGGAGGTTAATGTGATTTACAGGATCTTAGATCTATAGGGGAAAGGGATCTTAGAGATCATCTAGTCCAACCTTTCTGTTTTACAGAGAAGGAAATTGCTATATCCATTGTGCCACCTAGCTGCCCCAGGTTAATTCTTTCTTAATACACTGTATAATACTTCACACTTCCATACTTCCATCCTGTGAGACATTTTATAAATGAAATGAGTCATGGAAAGGTGAAGGGACTAGTCTAAGGTTGCATAGTCAGTGACAGAACCACACTTGGGAACTTGTGGGGTCCTGACCGAGGCTTTTCCCTCCATCTCCCAGCTGATGGGTTTCCTTTAAGAGTTGGCTGTTTCTATGACCCTGTTACGCTGAAGTTTTTAAAAAGCCCACCTACTAGAACAAGTCCATAGCCTCCATGACTCTTCCCAGGGGCTCTCAGCTCTTTCAGCCTGAGTCTATGGAACAGCAGCTCCTTCCCTGGGAGGCCAGACAGTTGGTTTTAGGCTTGGCCTGGCCATGAACTAACTGAGGGATCTCAGACAGGTCTTTGGGCTTCTTTATCACTTATCTATCAAATGAGATGAACATCTGCCTCACAGGATGGTTGTGTGGGTGGGAAAGTATAGAGAGTATTGTTCCTATTTCATAGAAGCTCATACCTTAGATGTTATCTGGTACAACTGAGGGAAAATGAAGCCCAGGGAGAGCAAAAGACTTGCCAAAGTCAGAGCAATTCAGTTCAGTGTGGTTTTTTGAAGACCCTGAGCTTAAAGAAATTAAATTACAATCTCTTTTCCTGCTCTCACTGTTCAGGTGAGAGGGGAAGTGCTATCTCAGGTCTTGATCCATTGCCTCTTTTCTTTTCACTCTCTCTGATGGCAGGATGGGCAACACTCCAGACTCTGCCTCGGACAACTTGGGCTTCCGTTGTGCGGCTAGCCCAGGCAGGCCTCCTGAGGAACTGTGAACAGAGACCAAGAGACAAGGGGGAGAATCCCCTGTGGCCCTGCCCCCATGGCCAGTCAGGACTCTCAACTCAGCCAATGCCTTATCAACAAAATATCAGGCCCAGATGAAGACTCAGCTGGAGTAATTCCAAACTCCACCTTGGCCATATCAACCATTTTCCCTTTCTCGATCCCTCCTCCACGAGTCGCATTCTGTCAAGAACTCTGGCTAAGGCTGAAAATAACCAGGACCTACAGGACTTAGCCCATTGCCAACTCAGGAAACCAAGGCCCTCAGTACTAATTATAGCTTAGGTGTGGCAGACGCAGCCAACTGCACATTAGATGGAGAAACAAAGCTTGTAGCTAAGAATTGTGAATTGTTGGAAATGGGATGGACTTTCAATACCATAGAGTACAGAAATTCTCAAACTAACGTAGCCAAGAATACAGATTTGGGTCTTGAAATACATTGTTGAAACCCTACAGTACTGGTTCAGAGGGTAGGGGTGGGAGGACATGAGGTTATGAAATACCCTCTGAGAATCAAGGGAGGTGGGGTTGCAGTAGGGAAAATCTTGGAATGAAATAGATGAAATTTAAGTTTTTTCATACCAAAAAAAATTGTATAAAATGTTTTAGATACTTTGTAATTTACACTTAATATTTTAGATCAGTATACATATTTAAGAGGGAAGAACAGTGCTATTTCTAATGGAACCTCTAATAGTATTGTGTCATTTCTTAGGTTCTAGCACCGACCTTCCAGGGTTGTTGTTAGGATTAAATCACAAAGGCTTAGCACAGTGCCTAGCACACAGTAAGCACTATATAAACACTCATTCCCTTCCTTTCCCCTTCTGTGGAACCCAATGTGGGAATCACTGGTCTTGTACAAGCCCTTCATTTGACAGGTATGGAAACTGGAGCTCAGAGAAGTGACCAGCCCAAGGCCACACTGTCAGAAGCAGTCAGGACCAGCACTTGCTTTTTTCTTTCAGTCCACAGCAATTTCCTTCACTAGGCAGAAGTTCCCAAGCATTACTGGAGAGACTGGAGGTGGGCAAAGGTTGGGGATGCCTGGGCATATGCAGAAGCCAAGACCAGAAGCAGAGCCCACCCTTGCTCACCCTCCATCTGGGACCTTAGGTTGAGCTCCTGATTAGCAGGGAGGGGACACCCCGGCCCTTTACTGGAAGACCCAGCAAGAGGGTGGGTGTCCAGAGGAGTCAATTGGGACAGGGACTTAGAGCCAGTCTCAAGTGTGTCTATCAGTAAAAAGGCTCTGCTCTGAACAAACATACACCTTCCTCTATGGATGTCCTTAGACTGCAGCCTAATGCTGACTATCACTGGGGAGGGAAGAGGTTGCCAGGAGATGCCTCAGGGCCCCTGATGCTCAGAGAGTAAGTGACTGCTGGAATCACACAGCTGTGCCCTGCAGAGCTGGGACCAGGGGCCATGTGTGCTTAGAAGTCCTCACTAGGGTTCTGATAGTCACTTTTCTTTGCCCAGTGGCAGTAAATACAGCATCGATGAACTGATGCACAGATCAAAGGGATGCCATCTCCTGGGTCACAGGCTTCATGTATCAGTACTTGGTAGACTTGGACCAAAGGTCGAAAGAGCCTTCTCAATGCAATCACCAGCATCAGGGGAAGAGTAGAACAGAGTGGTTAGACTCGGGCCAGCTCTCTCCTCCCCTACCTTTGCACACAGCAGTGGACTGGGAGTCAGAGGCCCTGTGTTTTAATCAGAGCTCTCCCACTTACTAGCTATGTGACCCTGGGCAAGTCCTTAACCTCTCTGGGCTTTAGTTCCTCTGTAAAATGAAAAAAAAGACTAGATGACCTCTAGGATTCTTTGTAGTTCTAAAACTATGATCCTTTATCAGCCAATAATAACTAGCTTACATCTCCTTATTAGCACCATAGCCTAGAGGGTAGAGTCTAGGCTTAGAGCCAGGAAAACCTGGGTTCAAGTGTTGTCTCTGCCATGTTTTGGCTGTGTGACCCTGAACATGTCACTTAACCTCTGCTCTGAGCAACTCTAAGACTTCAAAGCACAGAGAAGATGCTGACCTGCACTGGTAAAAGGATTTTCCTCACCAGAATTCCCACTTCTACTAAAATCACTGATCTAGTCTCTACCCCTTATCTGAGTTTCTGTGGTTCCAATAGCCCTATGAGGTTGGAGTAAATATTATCACTGGAAGGCCCAGATAGGAGAAATAACCTGCTCTTGTTCATAAAACTCAGGAGTCACAAAGGATCCCAAAGGCACCTCTTCGGCTCCATCCTGTATCCAATCAAGGCAACAAGCCTGTACCTCAGCAACATCGCTGGCCAATAGTGAAGGCAAATCCAGACTTCACCTGGAGCTCTCTGGTGACCCACTGTCACAAATGGGCACAGCCAATTTCACTCTGAGACTGCTCTAATTGGCAACAAGTTTTTCCCAGCAAAAGCTTAAATTTGCCTCTTTGCAAGTTCCACAGCTCCTGATGCTGTTCTCTAGGACCCAGTACAGCCCTTCAACAGGACAGCCTTTTCAACACTTGCAGACAGCTCTCTTGCCCCTCTTTCCCTATGGCATGATTTCAAGGTGCTTCAATATCCTGGCTGCCTGCACAATATACCTTGCCAATGGCCTTCCTAATGTGTCCAGAAGTTGAACATAATGCACCTACTGTGTGCCAAACACTGTGCTCAGCACTGGGGATACAAAGAAAGGCAAAAACAATCCTTGCCCTCAAGGAGCTCAGTCTAATGGGGAAAACAACATGTAAACAGCTATGTACAAATAAGATAGATACTGGATAAACTGGAGATAATCTCAAGAGGGAAGACAGTAGTATTAAGGGAGACTATGAAAGATGCTTTCTTTAAAAAAGTTTTTACTGATGTCTTTTTGTTTTTACATCACCACAGTTTTCCCCAGTATCTTCCTCATCAAAGGGAGCCATTGCATATAACAGTATTTTTGAAGACAAAAAAAGGAAAAAAATTCAGCATAACTGATCAATACTGAATAAAACATAGCTGATCAAAAAAGACATGAAAAGATGCAACGTGTGCAACACTCATGGACTTCCCATTTCAGTCAAGGGAGTGTCTTCTTATATCTCTTCTTTTCAGCCATTCTTGTGTTTTGTTTTTTTCAACATTCACTTTTTTTCTGGTGAGCTAATTACACTATAGTTGTGTATACTGTTTTCTTGGCTCTGTTTATTCACTCTACATCAGTCCAAGCTGATTTTCCCATGTTTCTCTGTATTCACTTACACTTTCTTATAGAACAAGTAACATTCCATTACACTCATGTATCATAATTTTTTTTGGCTATTCCCCAAACAGAAGGAGTCTGCTTTGTTTTCAATTCTTTGCTATCACAAAAAGTACTACTCTATATTTCAGTGTATATGGGGCATTTTTTCTTGAACCTAGCAATGGAATCCTGGGTCAGACTATGGACATTTTAGTCACTTAAGCTGCTAATTCCAAATTCTTTTCCAAAATGACTGTTCTGACTAGGCATAGATCAAAATCTCACACCAAATACCAAAATAAAGTCAAAATGGGTTCATGATTTAGATATAAAGGCTGATACTGTAAGCAAACTGGGAGAGCAAGAAATAGTTTACCTATCAGATTTATGGAGAATAGAAGAATTCATGACCGAACAGGAGATAGAGAACATTATGAAATGCAAAATGGATAACTTTGATTATATTAAATTGAAAAGTTTTTGCACAAACAAAGCCAATGCAATACAAAATTAGAAGTAGTAAATTGGGAAAGAATTTTTACAACCAGTCTCTCTGATAAGGGTCTCATTTCTAAAATATATAGAGAATTAAGTCAAATTTATAAGAATACAAGTCATTCCCCAATTGATAAATGGTCAAAGGATATGAACAGGCACTTCTCAGATGAAGAAATTAAAGCCATCTATAGTCACATGAAAAACTGCTCTAAATCACTATTGATTAGAGAAATGCAAATCAAAACAACTCTGAGGTACCACATCACACCTATCAGACTGGCTAACATGACAAAACAGGAAAATGATACATGTTGGAGAAGATGTGGGAAAATTGGAACACTAATGCATTGTTGGTGGAGTTGTGAAATGGTCTAATCATTTTGGAGAGCAATTTGGAACTATGCCCAAAGGGCTATAAAACTGTGCATACCTTTTGACCCAGCAATAGCACTTCTAGGTCTGTATCCCAGAAAGATCATACAAATGGGAAAAGGACCCACATGTACAAAAATATTTATAGTAGCTTTTTTTTGTGGTGGAAAAGAATTGGATACTGAGGGGATGTCCATCAATTGGGGAATGGCGGAACAAGTTGTGGCATATGATTGTAATGGGATACTATTGTGCTATAAGAAATGATGAGCAAATGGACTTCAGAAAAACCTGGGAAGACTTGTATGGACTGATGCTGAGTGAAGTGAGCAGAACCAGGAGAATGTTGTACACAGTAACAGCCACATTGTGCAATGACTAACTTTGATGGACTTGGCTCCTCTCAGCAATGCAAGGATCTAAGACATCTCCAAAAGTCTTATGATAGAAAATGATCCCCACATCCAAAGAAAGAACTATGGAGTTTGAATGCAGGTCGAAGCATACTATTTGCTATTTTTTTCTTCTGTTGTGTTTTGTTTCCTCTTTCTGGTGGTTCCTCCTATTAGTTCTAATTCTTACTTACAACAACACTAATGTGAAAATATATTTAATATGAATGTATATGTATAGCCTATATCAGATTGGGTGCCATCTTGGGAAGGGAGGTGAAGAGGGAGGGGGAGAAAAATTTAAAACTCAAAAGTTTATGGAAGTGATTGTTGATAATTCAAAATAAATTAATTGATGAAAAGACCTGAGCTGAATAGAAAATTTGACTTTCCAATACAAGACTCAAGTGGAACATGAAGAGGTAAACAGGAAAGAGAAATCCTAAGAGACTTATTAAGGTTGAACTGTTTACCTTCCTGCATGGAAAGACATTTGTAACTCTTGAGACCTTTGTCAGTATTAGGGTAGTTGGAGGGAAAAAATTATATGTATGTATATATGTATATATAGATAGATAGATAGATAGAGGGCACAGGGTGAGTTGAAGATGAAGGGGTCATATCTGGAGAATAAAATTAAGGGGTGAGAGAGGATTACACTAGGAGAAGGAGAAAGGGAAAGGTAGAACAAGGTAAATTATCTCATAAAAAAACAGAAAAGAAAAGGCTCTTACAGTGGAGGGAAAATGGGGGAAGGTTAGAGGGAATGACTGAAATCTTATTCTCATAGGAGTTGACTTAAGGAGGGAATAACATACTCAATTGGGTATGCAAATCTGTTTTACCCTACAGGAAAATAGGAGGGGAAGGGGACAAGAGAGTAGGGGGATGATAGAGAGGAGGGCAGATTGGAAAAGGGGGTGATCAGAAGCAAATACTTCTGAGGAGGGACAGGGTCAAAAGAAAGAATAGAATAAATGGGGGGGGCGGGATAGGATTAAGGGAAATAGAATTAGTTTTTCACAGCATGTCTACTATGGAAGTGTTTTGCATAACTGCACATGTATAGACAATATATTGAGTTGCTTGCCTTTTCAATGACAGTGAGTGAGGAGGGAGGAAGGAAGAAAATTTGGAACCCAAAGTTTTAAAAACACATGTTTAAAAAAAATGTTTTCATATGCAACTGGGAAATAAGAAATACAGGAAATGGGGTACAGAAATCTATCCTGCCCTACAGGAAAACAGAAAGGGAAGGGGGGGAGAGATAGCAGGGAAAGCAGACTAGGGGAAGGGGTATTCAGAATGCATGCCATCATGGGGTGAGGGGAGGGGTGAGTTGGGGTGAAAATCTGGAACTCAGAATCTTGTGGAAGTAAATGTTGAAAACTAAAAATAAATAAATTTATTAATTAAAAAAAAGAAAAACAAAAAAAAATAAAAAATCTTCTCCCTGCCAAAAAAAAAAATGATTGTTCTGATTTACAGTTTCACTAACAATGCACTAATACCTTCCCACAACCCCTTTAACACTGACTATTCCCATCTTCTCTCATCTATGCCAATTTGCTGAGTGTGAGGAAAAACCTCAGGGTTGTTTTGATTTGTGTTTCTCTTAGTGATTTGGAGCATTCTTTTATACAGTTAATAATAGTTTACAATTCTTTTGAGAATGATTTGTTTATATTCTTTGACTATATATCTAATGGGTTTTTGGTCTTATATAGATATAATTATCTATATATCTATGTAGACTATCTCTATGTCTTAATTATATATCTTAGATACCAAACTCTTATCAGAAACTGGATACAAAGATTTTTCAGGAAAGGCTTCTTGCAGAAGATGGGATTTTAGCCAATACTCAAAGAAGCCAAAGAACTGAACATAATACTACAGATATAGTCTGACTGGGGCAGAGTATAGTGGGACTATTACCTATCTAATCCGGATACTATGTTTTTCTTAATACAGCATAGTCTAGAACTGCATTAGATTTTTTGAACGACATGTCTCATTGTTGACTCCATTGTAGCCCACTAAAACTTCCACATCTTTTCCATACAAACCACAGCCAGGGTTGGGGAACCTGCAGCCTCGAGGCCTTAATAAAAGGATTTGTTGCGTGAAGTTTGGATTCAGTCAAAAGGCTGCACTTGAGGACCTAGAGGGCCACATGTGGCCTCAGGGCCACAGGTTCCCCAACTCTGGCTCTAGCCCCTCCTCTCTCTTGGTCTATTTGTGAAGTTTGCTTTTTGGATGCTGGTATAGAATTTCATATTTATCTCTATTTCATTTTATCCTATTCAGCTGGGCCCATCATTCTCACTTTCTGAGATCACCTATTTCAACACCCTCACTTTCGAGATGAAGAGAATGGGCCCTGAGGGGTTACCTGATTCACTTAAATTCACTCATCTTTTCAGTTCTGAACTTGGGTCACCTGTTAGCTAGCCCTGACAGTTTCTCATCCATTTGTGATTTTGACAAGCATAGCATCTACATCTTTATCCAGTTCATCGATTTTAAAAGGTTGAATAGCACAGGGCCAAGAGTTACAACTGGAATTCAAAGTCAAGTTTGAGTCAATTACTGTGTTAATTGTTTTCAATTTGGTTTTTTGTCACTTTCATCCCATTCCCCAAACTTAATAATGTTAATTGCTAACATTTACATACCACTTACTATGTGCCAGGTACTGCTGTTAAGTGCTTAACAAATACTATCTCATTAGATCCTCATAACACCTCTGGGAAGTAGGTGCTATTATTATCCCCATTTTATAGTTGGGGAAACTGAGGCAAACAGGTTAAGTGACTTGCCCAATGGGGTCACATAACTAGTGAATGTCTGAGGCAGGATTTGAACTCTTCCTGACTCTAGGCCCAAAGCTTTATATACTTCACCACCTTCCTTCTCCCTAATAATCCCTTTCCTGTCCCCCTAAAACTCATATATCCATCTGCTCCCCATAGCTGGGAGTCACAAACCTCATACAGGGATAGGAAGAGGAAGGGATGTTAAGGTAAAAGCCCACACCGGGAGAGGTGGAGGAAAGACTTCAGAAACAAATGTAGTTGGAGCAGAAAGGAAAGACTGGTTCTACCCCAGCCAATAACTAACTCCCCAGGAGAGAACGGTGTGGGAAAGCTGGAGGCTGGTTAGGTAGCTCTGTTCAGGGAGATCCTCAGGAACATTCTTTACTACTTGTACAAAGTGGATTTGTCATCTTGTAGTAAATGTGTATATTGTTCTTTGGGTTCTATTTCTTTCACTCCCCACCCTTGTTCAAGGAGTAGCTTGCGGGACTCATAGTCCTTGTCTATGAAGTGATAAACCTCCAAATCAAGGCTCAGAAGGGACAGACCTGGAAAGGTTTCTGCCAATCCTAAGTTAAGGCTCTTTGTCCTTTCTGAAAGCACCCATTGGTATTCCAGCCAAAAAGAATTCTGTAATAACACCCTCAAGCTGAAGGCACACGTTAACATCTAGCTGAGTTTAAGTCTACTGAAGGTAGACTGCACTTGCTCGCTGAAGATGAAGCCCAAAAAGTCCATCAGACCAATACCTTATACTGAGCCCTGAGAGGAGCTAGCAACCCATTACTGATGCCACAACCCACATGAGCTTTGTGAGAACTCTTCTGAAGCACTGTAGTCTTAGAGTTATAAACTGCTTGGGCTACACGTGTCATGAGACAATATGTCCCAATGTTTTAGGGCTTGTCATGGTACCTATTATTTTTGCGATGACATGTGAATAATCCCCTTTGCTAAATGGTAACTGGATGATTGTTAGTGAAAGCTCTCATGGGCCAGTGTTGGGAGGATGGCCCTCAGGGTTACCCTTAGACCTGGAGCTAGCAGTCCCCTCTGTGGGAACCCAACCTTCCAGTGACAGATGGTTGAAGGAGTGATCCTAGAAAGGATGCCATACCTCTTTTAAGATTTAGGGTTTGTCTTTTTGTTGCTACTATGCATTTATCTTTCTCTTCTGAAAACTTTTCCTTTTTTGAACTTATTGGGGTCAGGGACTATGTTTTCTACTTTGTCTTTCCCACGATGTTCCATAAGTGCCTGCTGATGAATTGGCTGATGTAACAACACAACACCTGTATAACACTTCTTGCATAAAAACCTTCCATTTATTTTGTACTTTCATAGCTGCCTCTTTGCAGCAACGAAACTTTGGAAATTCCATAAATCTGACCAACTTCACAACTCAGTTGTTATAAGTGAAGTCCCACCACTCTTTCATCAAGACAGATATCAGGTGGTTATTTAGTCACTGCTGTTGACAGCTTGCAGTCAAACACAAAGGGGAAGCAAGTCAAGGTAATACCATCCTCTAATAATATGTACCCAGGCTAACCTCCCAGGAGAGTGAATTATAATATACGATGGAGATGTTAGCCTTACCCTACATATCTTTCATAAGTTTACTCCCTTGACATCAAATATGAGCTATACAGCGCTGAAATATGTAGTGACTCACTGAATTTCCTTTTGAAGAGCTTGTATTCTTCCCTGTGATACTTCTGTCTCCCCACATCCCCATACTCCAGGCTGCATATGGAGTAACAGCCTTTTTCCTTGTTAAGTGGGTACCAATTAGAACTTGAGATAAGCAGTATGAGAATATGAGCAATAACTCAAAACAAAAGCAATGCCTCAATTATAAAATGCTGATTCTCATTTTCTATGTGAGGCAGTGACCAAATATTGTCTTCACTTGACAATCACTCAAAATACAAATTGAAGGGTTTTCTCTGTGACCTACAAAGTTCAGATGTCCACTCTTTGGTACCTGGAGTAACTAGAATATGCAGGCACAGCAGTAGCATCTTACACAATCGAAACCAGATTGGTCTAACAAGAAACATTTATTACACATCAACCAACAGTAAATGTTTGATTCATCCCACCATAATAAAACCAGGAGCCACTGTCAGGCACAGCATTGAATTTACAGACCCAGAAGAAAATTTTTACTCTCCAAACTCTTTCTCACCAGCAAACTAAAACTAAAGAACAAGGCTCTATGCACCAGCAAATAGATCCAGGCACATCCCTCATGTCTGTTATTATGGTGAAGAGATAAGTCCAAGCACCACCAACTGCAAGAGGATTTGATGAGAGTTGTAAGGATCACGGCCAACCAGAGGCAGGGAGTGTGCAACAGGGAGAACACAAAAACACACTGGAAACTTATCTACTATTTAATTCATATTAGTCTGAGGTGTTGCTCTGATCCAGAACGATTATCCTATGTTCATTTTTTAAAGGAGAGAAAGGGAATAAAAAAAATAATTACTTTAAAATAACTTACAAATGGAATATTTCTATTCAACTGAGATAAAAAAGACACGTGCATTATTAAGGAAACTTGTGTGGTGAGATATACCTCTGTCGTGTGCTTTGGAGAACACCAAGAAAACTACAATTAAAATCACTATGATTCATTCAACCCATGCTGAACTCAACTGTCAATTTTCATTGTTATCAGCCCTCACCATAGAAACTTTAAATATAATACAATGCTGGAATCCCCACCTTTATGCAGGTGATTTTTGATAGTTCTACTAATTCTGTGTGAAACTGGGGGTGCTTAACATACAAATGTATCTGACTCTAAGTTACCTGGATGGCTGGGTCCAACCCAGGCAATGCCACAAACCAGGTTTCAGTTCTTCCTGATCTGGAACAAGCAAACCACAAGTAAATTAGCAGGTAATCCCAGTCAAAGCCCCTAAACATCTTTATATTCAAAACAGGACAGTGGCAACTCAGCCTCCCTAGTCTGAGTCAGATTGTTCAGCTTGTAGTTGGTGCTACATAGGGTTCCCTCCTCCCCCAAGAGAAATGCTCATTTTAGAACTACAGGGAATAGACTCTAGCCCTTAAATTTTAAGTCTATTTATAGCTGCTCCATATTGACTATTTTTGAGGTGCCAAACATCTCAGGGTCTTATGTGATACAAACTGTGGATTTGCATACATTGAGAAAATACATGATGATAGAAAACTGCTATAATTGGAAACAACTTTTAAGTGAATTTGTATTTTATTCACTTCAACAGCAACTCGGCACTTTGGAAAAACTGTAATATTTATATATGTGAGCCATACCATTTATTCAGGCAACAGAAGGTTTGTTTGTTAACTGATTACACCAATTCACGTATGAAACAGATCCCTTGCAAAAATTCTTCTGTGCTCCCCAGAGTATTTGAAGCTCACAGGTTGGGACCCAACATACTAAGTCATAAACCAAACCCAGGCAGGCCATTCTTGTTAAGGTTAAGACTCACTAAAATGTTGGTTAGGTCTCTACCCTACACAGTGCCTAACATCGCTTCACAGAAGCACTGGGCTATGAGGAATCAGTTAATGCCATGGTGGCCTGAAAAAAATGAACCTGCCTCCCACCAAACTGCTAATCTGCTGCCAGGGAAGAATCTTTGTATGGGAAGGAGTCATTTGGGAATGGTGTCACAGGCATGCAAAGCTTTTTAAAGCAGTATGAAAGTCAGTTAGTTGAAGACTTTCCCATAACATGTGCCCCCCATTTTAGTTCCATATCAACTGTTTTGATTGATTCTGCAACCCTTTTATGAGCTGCCAGACCACTAAAAAATAAAGCTTTGTGTTCTGTCAACTATCCTCATCCAGATGCAAAAACATACTCATGATGTTGGACCGAAAGCTTACTCTGGAAGCAAACTGGGTGTTAATGACAAGTCTTCACCATAAACTAGGGGGAAAATAAATTAACAAAAGCAACACAAATGAGTTTGGTCATTGGCAGGCAACCACTTCTGAATAAACTCTTTACTTCTTAAGACAGAGGCCTGCAGAATAAATATACTATAGATCCATTAAGTAGGACCTATTAAAAGAAAAATACCTTCAGGGCTCCCAGGAAACCTATCTGATTTCCTTCTCTCTGCCATGGCCCCTTCTTCCCTCTTTTTCTTCTTTTCACCAACTTCTTGAGCTGTTATACTTGTCTCCCTTCAACAACAAGAATTTTGACATCAGACCATGAGGAGAGGGGCCAGGAGGGCAGTATTCAAAGGGCAAAGTATATAATATCAGACTATGGGTAGGAGTCAGTTGCTTGTTCACAACCTCATGTTATGTGAGTACTTCAGACTCACTCCTAAGATTCTTTCTAAAGTAAAAACAGTTATAGATTAGACTGACAACTCAAGTAGGAATACTCTCTATTAGTCAAGAAGACACTGGAAATTTTCAGGGATCATAGAATCATGATTTAGAGCTTAGAAGGGTCTTTGGATTCTTGGAGCTCATCATGTTCAACAATGTCACTTAGAAAGATGAAGAAACTGAGGCCCAGGGAGAATGACCTGCCCAATGTCACATAGTATAACTAGTAGGTAGGATTTGAACCCAGGTCCTCTGACTAAAAATCTAGTCTTTTTTTCATTGTACTTTACCACCTACTTCAACTTCAATTAATAGATAATTTACATTTCTACAGTTCTTTAAGGTTCATGATTAGCTTTCCTTACAACAGCTCTGTGAAGTATTTAGTGGAAGTATTATTGGCCCCATTTTACAGATAAAGAAACTAAAGTTTTGAGAAACAGACTGACTTGACTATCATCATAGAATTAGTAAGTTTTGGAGCTAGGATTTGAATCTTTGAATATGTACTTTTAAAATTTGGGCTCATCAGAAGTTCTAAACAGCCATACAGATTTCTCTATTTTCAGCTGAAAAATTTTATTGGTATCTTTTGCTTTTATAACACCTTTACTATCATATTCTACATGTATGACTACTCCTCCCACTGATGCTGTGTGTATCTGGGGAAAGATGCATTCAAGGTTTAGGGGAAGATAACAAATGTGTACTTTTAAAATTTGGGCTCTTCTGACATTTTCTTATATAGTCACAAAATTCATTTTGGTATTTTTTGTTAAGCTAGTGTTCTTACTATGCCATTTCGGTAAATGACTGCTTTGAGTTAACTACATCCCCTGGGTAACTCCTGAAGGTAAATGACTTGTGCACTATAATTTTTTTAAAAAGAGGTTTTTGTTGCTATCTTGTTTTTACATCACTAACTTTTCCCCCTATATCCTTTCACCTTTCCCTCAGTATCCTTTTCCCGTCCTAGAAAGCCATCCCTTATAACAAAAAATAAAAAGAAGAGGAAAAAAAGGAGAGAAAACTGAGCAAAATCAATCAATAAATGGAAAAAAATCTGATGTTATATGCAGTGTCCCACACCTGTGGATCTCCACTCTGCAAAGGAGCCTAGGAAGGTATCTTCTTTCTTCTCTGGGGCCAAGCATGGTCATTGTAGTATCATAATATTTAGTTTTCATTATTTTGTTGTGGTTCTTTACATTTTACACTTGCAGTCCATGTATTATTTTCCTGTTTCTGCTTACTTCACTTTGCATTAGGTCAAATATTTCCATGCTTCTCTGTATTATTCATTGTTTTTATTGTTTCTCAATGTTTACATGCCACAATTTGTTTAGCACTCTTCAATAGGTGGGCATCTGCTTTGTTTCCAGGTCTTTGCTACCATAAGAAGTGCTGCTACAAATATTGTAGTATGTGTGGCAATCTTTTTTTTTCATCAATGACCTTGTTGGTAGAGTGGTGGTGGTACTAATTTCCTAGCAGTGCAATCTCTGGGTCAAAGGGTATGGGCATGTCATTTTATCCGTATAATTCATTCCAAGCTGCTTTCTAGGACGTATGTACCAATCCATAGTTTCATCAACAATGCATTAATATGACTGTCTTTTGAGGAACCCTCAAACATTGACTATTCTCATCTTTTGTCATTCTTTGCTAATTCGAGAAGTTTCAGGTGAAACTTCAGGGTGGTTCAGACCTGCATTTCAATAACTATGAGTGATTTGGAACATTCTTTTCATATGGTTAATAGTCTGCATTTCTTCTTTTGAGAACTATTCATATACTTTGACCCATATTCTGTGACTCAGCTATTATGGAATGGCTTTTGTTCTTATATATTTGTTAGTTGTCTATCTATCTTGGATATTTGACCCTTATTAGAGTTATTTGATTCAAATATATTTTCATAGATGCCCATTTCCTTTTTTATCTCAGATGAATTAATTTTGTTTGTGCAAAATCTTTTCAATTTCATGTAATCAAAATTATCTAATTATTTGGTTAAGAATTCACCATGAGAAAAAATCTTGGTACCTTCTTTGTAGTTTGAATGGCATAGCACTAAATCTGTAACTTAAGTTAGGTAGTGTGGTCAATTTTTATCATAGTAAGCAGCCCAACTAACGATGAGCACAGAATATCCTTCCATTTATTTAACTTATTCTTTATTATTTTTTTTTTTGGTGTTTAAAACACATTTTAATAAAAACACATGAAAATATTACAAGAAAATGAAAAAGCAATTAGGCCTTAATTGCCTTTTGTCCCAATGGTCTTAGATGCCACTGTACTACTAATTCATCTGTGGTCTTGAGGCAAGTTTCTGACATCTGTTCTTCTGTTGGAAGTCCTTGTGGCAGTTTTAATGGCTGGATTCTTATCAGATGCTTAACCACTTTCAATTTCGCATTCACTGAAGGGATATTCTTATGCACTTCTGGAGTATGTGCTTTTTCCAGTCCAAGGAGTTTTATGATTTCCTTTTCCCAATATGGTCTTCTATGCACACTTTTAATTCTGGTGACAACATGTAATTTATGAGGGTGTTGAGGGTCCCCACCATATTTTTTATGAGCTGCAGGTGAAGGTTGAAACACTTCATCTGGAATCCTTGACTTGGTAAATTTATGACGAATCCAATCAGTTGAGGTGAGAGATTCCAGACTTTTTGTCACATTCTGTATTCTACCTTGAGGGCTCTGGGTCACCAAGCACAAAATCCCTGCCATTAGGTATCACCACTGATGATATCATCGTCCAAAAAGCAGCCCCACTTGGCCACAGTGGCCTGTGGTTCCTACCTTCAATTTACTTCTCCAGGAGGCTGAAAGAAACCATGGCCAAGGAGAAAGATCTCCAGGAAGCCTCAGGCTGGCACAGTAGAGGACTCGGGGGGTGAGAGTGTCTTTATTTCTTTAAAGAGTGTTTATTGTACTTAAGTAAGTCTTGCACATGTCTTGGTAGACTGACTCCCAGAGATTTTATGCATTTTGCAGTTATTTTGAATGACATTTTCCTTTTTATCATTTCCTCCACGATTTTGTTATTGCTATGTAGAAATGTTAATTTTTGTGGATTTATTTTGTATCCTGCAATTCTATTAAAACAATGATCTCAATTTTCTTTGCACAGTGATTTCTTTGGATCAATTCTCCAAACTAATTTGGCAATGGAACACTTTTTAGCTTGAAATAAGCTGATGGCAGCCATAATACGGTGGCCGCTATGGAGGAGATCATAATGATAAAGGAACAATGGGCCTCAATTAAGGAAGAAGGGCTGTCACTCTGAGGCCTGGGCACCTAGAACAGAATGACAGCCACAGTATACTCCGGCTAAAATATGGCCCTATGTCAAGATTTCACTAAGCAGCTACTAAGTGCTTACCAGCTACTGCTTACCAACTACACCTTACCAACAAGCATTTTGTCAGCCACTCTTCTTCCTTGTTTCTCCTTCTTACTCTATTGTCCAGCTCTCCCTCTGACTAGCTAGCTATACTCACAGCCTGCCCCTTCTCAGAGACCAGGGTGAATACCGGCTATGAAATTTCTAGCAAATTGAATCTAGCATTACAATTCCTAACAGAATCCTTATTCATATCACACAAACCACCACAAACGTTAGGAAATGCTGTTTCCCCCTTTCCTTCTCATAGAGATTATTTATAACTCTATAGAGAATTTCAATTTTTAGAACTTTCCATCCCTCTTAAACCAAATCTATTTTATAGACAGAATCACAGGATTTAGATCTGAAATGTACCTTTGTACCTCATCTAGCTCTAGGTTGGACTCCTTTAATCATGAAACTATATCTAGCTTTTCTCTGAGTCAAAAAGTTCAAGATTTTAATGAATAGGTCTAATATTTCCTTCCTTCATCATTACACACTCCAGGATGACACATCATTTTTCTCCTAAGATCTTTATCACATCCATATCACTAACTAGTTATCCCTTTTTGGTCAAAACAATAAAAACATCTAATACTACCACCAATAAATACCACTTTACATTTGTATATACCACTTTCAACTATTCAAAGTATTTTTATTACTTCATTTTATTTTCATGATGATCTTGAAAAGTATATGGGAGGGGCAGCATGGTACAGCAAAAAGAAGGCAACAGTGACCTGCAGTCAGACAACCTGGGGTCTCCTACTGGATCCACTATTGGCTACCTGGGTTAGATAACTTAATAACCTCTATTATGAAAGGCTCTACCTGCTCTAACTCTAGGGTTCCTAGGAAGGGGAGGTGAGGACAGAAAGGCCCACTTCACAGAAGTGAAATACCTTGCCAAGATTATGTTAGTTGACAAACCAGGACCAGAACTCAACACCACTAACCTTTATTAAACATCTACTCTGTGTGAGGCACTGTGTTCAACGGGGAGGGTACAATGACCAAAAAAAAAAAAAAAAATTATCCTTATTCATGAGGAACTCACATTCTATCTGTGACACAAGAGGTATCCAGTCAAGGACATGGTACCAGAACTGCAAAACCTGATGCCACTAAAATCAGGATTCAGCAGACTATTCTACTTCCAAACTTGCCCCATCCTATCCCAATAAAATCTCAAAGACATTCTTTTTCTAAATGGCAACTTTGAACCTAACTTAATATGCTCATTTCTTCTTTTATAAAATCATTCTGGGGCTGACATTTGCTCATTTGCAACAATGCAATCTTATCACTACCCAAGTTTTCCAGAGATCCCAGATAACCTTAGGTAGAAAATGAAAATCAGACCCACTTAACATAATAAATGAAATAATCCCCTAGTGGGGAGCAACAACCTTGCAGAGCTCTCTGTAAGACCTTCTTGAAGCTTCTTGCTCTTCTCAGATGGCTCAGACAGCCATCTTTCCAACTCTTCATCCAGAGTAGAGTGAGCCCTGTCCAGAGGCAAAAAGACCAAGGTCAGGTTCAATGTTTACATTTCCTTCTGAGTTCATATGATGATATGCTGCTTTATTCACTTTATTGATGAAGTGACTAGTCTAAGTCCGTATAATTTGAGAGTTCAAAGAAAACTTAAGGGGTCATGAAGTTAATGTTCCACCCAGTGTAGAGATCATTTCCACATTATTCCTGGTAAGATGGCCATCACTCTCTGAATACCTCCCATGACAAGAAGCTTCCTCATCAATAAAATGGTGATAAGAGAAATGGTGGGAAGAACACCAGATCTGGAGTCAAAAGACATGGATTCAAATCCTGGCTCTTGCTATTTGTGATGTTGGGTAATTCACTTCCCCTCTCTGGGCCTCAGTTTCCAGCTGGGTCATGAAGAGAATCTTCTAACAAAAGAGAGCCAACAAGAGGTTTTGTTTTGATGATTTATTTATTTTTTGTTTTGATGATTTTATAAGAAAGAAAAAAATGGAAAGGGAGAGAAAAGGAATACACTAGGGGGGAAAAAGGAAGAGAAAAGGTAGAGAAAATTATCTTATACAGTGTGTAAAAGTAGAAAACCAAAGGAGGAAGGGGTAGGGGCACACTGGCCACCTTTGAACCTCATCTCATCCGAACTGGTCAAAGGAGGGAAGAAAATAAAGCTGGGTAAAGAAATATATCTCATTCAAAAGAGAAACAGAAGAGAAAGGGGAGAAGAGAATGACATGAATAACAAGGAGGGCAGGTTAAGGTAGGCACTACTCCTAACTAAAACAAACTTAACTAATGTGGCTAGATCTTGAAGAAGGCTTAAAAAAAAAAAAGATAAGGACTTATGGTTGGGTTCAAGGTGAAGGAAAGAGAAAAGGAGCTGGGGAGGAGAAGCAGCCTATAGCAAACCTATAACACTGGAGCTGAGCTCACCACCTCTCTTGTCATTTTGTTCTTCTTTTTATTTTTTTTAAATTTAAATTTATTTATTTTTCGTTTTCAACATTCACTTCCATAAGATTATGAGTTTTTAAATTTTCCCCCTCCCTCGCCTCTCCCCTCCCTAAGATGGTATGTAATCTGATAGAGGCTCTACTTATACATTCATATTAAGCATATTTTCACATTAGTCATGATGTATAGAAGAATTAGAACTAATGGGAGGAACCATGGGAAAGAAGAAATAAAACAAAACAACAAAAGAAAAGGAGAGTAAATAGTATGCTTCCATCTGCATTCAGACTCCATGGTTCTTTTTCTGGATGTGGATAGTATTTTCTAATGAGTCTCTCGGAGTTGTCTTAGATCCTTGCATTGCTGAGAAGAGCTTACAAGTCTATCAACATCAGTCATCACACAGTGTGGCTGTTACTGCATACAATGTTCTCCTGGTTCCGCTCTTTTCACTCAGCATCAGTTCATATAAGTTTTTCCAGATTTTTCTGAAGTCTGCCTGCTCATCACTTCACAATAGTATTCCATTACACTCATGTACCACAACTTGTTCAGTCATTCCCCAATTGATGGGCTTCCCCTCAATTTCCAATTCTTTGCCACAAAAAGTCTGCTCTTCTTTTTAAAGAGCAGGCAGGAAACATAGAGAAAGAAAAGTAAGAGAAGAGGATGAAGGGAAATGCACAATTAAGAATCATAAGTATGGACATGAATGTTACAAACTCATCCATAAAACAGAAGAGGATAGTAGAATGTATTAGAAAGCAAAATCCAGGGGCAGCTAGGTGGTGTAGTGGATAAAACACTGGCCCTGGAGTCAGGAAGACCTGAGTTCAAATCCAGCTTCAGACACGTAACACTCACTAGCTGTGTGACTCTGGGCAAGTCACTTAACCCCAATTGCCTCACCAAACAAAAAAGAAAAAAAAGAAAGAAAAATCCAATAAGTTATTTACAAGAAACATACTTGAAACAAAGATTCATGTAGAGTTAATATAAAAGACTGGAGCAAAATGTAACATGTTTCAGTTGAAGAAATGACTTAATACCTGATCAAGCCAATGATCAACTAGGATTCCAGAAGCATTATGATGATAGAGAGGTGGGATATTACCCACCTCCTGAAAGATTGTACAGAATGAGATGTGCGTTTTTGGACATGGCCAACATGAGGATTTGTATTGTTTGACCATATTTATGTTGTTAGAGTTTCGTTTTCCCTTTTTTTCAACAGAAGAGGAAGAAAGTGGAAGGAAGATAAAAGCTATTATCATCATTATAGCATAATGATAACCGATAGTTATAGGATACTTCAAGGTTTATAAAGTGCTTTCATTTTACCCTCCCAACGATACAGTGAGGTCAGTACTACAGATATTATCACCATTTAATGGATAAGGATGCTGAAGTTCAGGATTATAGCCAAATTTCTCATCCATAGCACAAAAGTAGATGATAGTGTTTTTTCTCCATGAGTATGTGCAATAAGATTGCACTATGCTAAGGCATGTAAGCACAAGTCCACTGCAAACAGCCCCAAATGGGGGCAGAATGGGCACTGGAGCCAAATCATAGAATGTCAGAGCTCATTTAGTCCATCCCCCTCATAATACAGATGGGGAAACTGAAGTTTAGAGAAGTGACTTGACATAAGAGTCGTAGTGTTGAACCCAAGTCCTCTGACTCCCAGTTCAACAATTTTTCCATTATTTCAGAACAGATTGTGTTAAAAATTATTTCTCTTGGTAATTTGTGTCCTGGAGACTCAGAGCTCCACCCTGCCAGCCTTCTGCTTCAAAGTTCTTCAGAAAGACATCTCTAATAATGAGATTGCATTGAATCTTCTTATCTTGGTCAAACTCCAACCCAGGCCTGAATTGATTTTATCTACTCAGGTTTGGGTGGAGACAGACTTCCAAGATTAGGGGTGGCATTTCCTTTGATGGCGAGTGATATAGGCCTGTGGACAGTGATCTAAGGAATCCACCCACCTCGTAGTATGTCAACCAATCATGGTTGATTGGCACACCCCCCCCCCCCCCCCGTGGGAACACCTATTCTTGGAAAGGCATATAACGCTGTACTCCAAAATCCCAAACTGAGCCAGTTCTGAACCACCCCCCTTGGGAGGGGCCCAGTTTTGGACTGTACTCCCACACAATATACGTCAAGCCACTTTGAGAAATTAAACTGTGGACACATGCACCCCAATTTCACCTGTCTCTTTCTCAGAGCAGACTTTGTTTCAAACTGGGGTTTCTGGGGTTTGGGGTTCACAGGCCAGTGTCTTTTTCTTTTCTTTTTTTTCAAGTCCTCATTCTTTTTGGCCTCCCTAGAGTATCTGACACTGCCGACCTCATCCTCCTTCCTACTTTCTTCTCCCTGAATTTTTGTGACACTGCTCACTCTTAGTTCTCTTACTTCACTGGTATTCCTCTTCAGTTTACTTTACTAGATGCTCATCCAGTACCATCCCCAACATGTGGGTATATGCCAAGGTCCTATCCTGGGCTTTCTTCTCTTCCTTCTCTGCACCTTCTCTTGGAAATCTCAATCAGTTCCCATTCTGTGGCAGGGCCAACAAAACTTTAACTGCTGTGATGATTTCCCTAATGTCTTGCTTGGTAGTTTACTGAAAGGTAAATGAATTAATATTGCCTGCTCCAGAAAATACAAACATTTATACTTAGCTATATTAATAAGGAAGGCCTTTCTCTCTTGTTAACATCTTTGTGTACATAAATTTATTCCCCCTCCCTTATGGAATGTGAGTTAGTATTTCACATGCATAATCCTGAGAGAAAAAAAAAACCATAAATACATGTAGGGGGGCTTGATTCTTTACATGACAGAATAATTCTAGACCATTCTCCTAGCACTTGGCAAATATACCCACGTATACTCAAAAGGCTTTTTGCTTTCACCCTTAAAACCAACTGAGAAAGTTTCCATTCTTCTCCCAAAGACGATTCCATGAATAAAGCTTCAGTGCGGGTCTAGAACCGGTACCTCCATGTCCCCCTTGTTAGAGAACTTGGAGTGAAAAAGGGAACATTCAACCCTCATATTTTTAATTCCCTTCACCAAATTGTTCTAGCCCTACTGGCTTACTTGTGGTTCCCCTGTAAATGACATACCTTTGCCCAGGCTGTCTTTCATGCCTAGAATGCACTCCCTTCTCACTTCCATTTCTTTAAAAGCCCTAGCTTCTGTCAAGGCTGAACTCAAGTGCCACCTCTTATAGGAAACCTATCTATCTCGATCTAGTACTTTCCTTTCCCTAACCTCTAAATTACTTTGCATTTATTTTTCTATGTATGCTAAATGTAAGCTCTCTGAGGAAACAGATCTTTTTTTTTCTTTTTTTTTTTTGCTTTTTGGTGAGGCAATCAGGGTTAAGTGACTTGTCCAGGGTCACACAGCTAATAAGTGTCAAGTGTCTGAGGGCAGAATTGAACTCAGGTCCTCCAGACTCCAAGGCCGGAGATCTATCCACTGTGCCACCTAGCTGCCCCAGGATTGTTTTTTATCTTTGTATTTCCAGTGCTTTGGATAGGGCCCAGTCCTTAATAAGTGATTGTTGAATGAATTAATGAATCCTTGATGACCTCCTGTGGACACTCACAAATACTGATTATTTACTTACTGATATCCTTCAAAAAATGTGGTGTCCAGGATTTAACATAATAGTCCAGATGTGTTCTGGACAAGGCAGAGTATAGGAACTATCATTTCCTGGGTTCTGCTTCTGGACACACCTCTCTTAATGCAACCTAAGACCACATTAGTTTTCTGGGTCCACTTTGTTCAGTCTTCTGTCTCTCCAAAATGCACTAAAAGAAGCCCATCAAGCCACTGTACTACAGAGACAGAATACGTGATGTGTATACCTCTGTCCAACTCCTCACACCACTCTATCAGCAGCAAAACTTGTTTTGCTAACTAAGAGTCTTGTTTTCAAACAAGAAATGGTCTAGAGGGAGTTTGCAAAGGTGCCATAACTGGAAAATATGAGTCTCACTATATCTGGTGCTGCCACCTTAGAGCACAACAACATGGACACAAGTCCTCTGGAAAATCCAGCTTCTTCACTAACCTGTCCATCTCTTCTGTTAGGTACAGGGTTTCTTTGGTCCAAAGAACACTGCCATCTTCTCCTTTATTCTGAATTAACTTTTCTTCTAAATGCCTTTGATCTAGAGCTAATTAATAAGATTTACTTAAGCAGAACAGCAAAACATTTAATAAAACTACAGGCTGAAAAAAATTAAGATTGGGTTAGTATAATCTATTGCATTTAACACATTGCTTTCTAATCCTTCTGTCCCAGGAAGGTATTTCTTATTGTCCCATTCAGTTTCTAGAAAATCAAACTGTCTTCTTTGAGCTCATTTTCCTGGTGGCCTTCTTTTCTTTTTTTTAAGATGTAGGCAATATCAAAACACTTTCGAAGTGTGAGTTTTAGACCACGTTCAAAGGGTCTTGCAGATAAGTAAAGCACTTGTCACTTAACTCACTTAATTGAGTATTTGTGATGCTCAATACAGCTAAGGCTGTCTCAAACTTTAGCATTTCCTTCTTGAATGTTCCAGGCTCCAAAATGGACTCATCCAAGAAGGTGCAGAGCATGTTGTAGAACCCCTTCAGGTATCAGTAGCAGCAACAGCACATCAAGGGCAAAGACAGCTTTAAATTTTAATAACCTATACATGAACTTGTCCTGCCCTAAGATAACCAAAGACAATGCGGACTGGGAAGGCATTTCCATTTTAGTTTCAGTGCCATGGAAACAAAGCCCTCTCATACTGTCCGTTGATTTTTTGAGAACATAATTCAAGGCCCAATGACCTTCTAGGGCACAGTTAGTGCACATGCAACAGGATCTGATCAGATCACATTCGTGCAGGGCAAGTCTACCCACCGGAAATTTCCTCTCTCAGACTTTTTCACATAACATATCATGTGTTATTTGTCTTAGACTTAAGTACTAAGAAGACCATGCTGTAAAGGGTTCTCAGCCAAGGGTCAGATCTCTAAGTAGACAGACCTGGCAACCTCCTCCACAGTGTGATTTTGGGAAGGTGTCTTTGACCATTCTCCCTCAAAATCTCTTTCACAAGTTCAACCGTAGCCAAGCAGAAAAGAAATAAGACTGGAAACACAAATGCCCTTGGGAGAGGGAACACCTTGAATTAAGTTCACACTAAGGTAAAATGACTGAGACTGACTCCTTTCTTGAGAATATATTTTGATAGGGCACAACTAATGTGTCTGAAAGATGAGGTGAGACAAAGAGAACAAAGAGGAGGCTGAGAATCTCAAAAATAAATTTCATGATCACACTTTACACCCACCCTGACTTCACCAGTGAGATGGCTCTACCATAGACTCTTAAGATCACAGTATAGCTCCACTTTAGAAAGATCTTCTACAATGGACAGTCCACTTACCATTTAATGTCAGATCACAGTAACTCGACCCACTCTCATCAAACACTGAGGAAGAAGCACTTTGTTGCTTCAAGTGCTCTGTCATAATATAAAAGCAAAAAGATTCAAGGCAGCCTGCCCCTCTGTGGCTGTTGCACAACTTTCTAGGAGCAGATTCTCTAACCAATTCATTCCATACAGCATCATCTATGTATGAAGCTCAGGACAAATATGGCCTTCTCTTACCCTGACACATTCCTCATCTTTTCACCTCTGGGATCTCAGTGGAATGGATTTTTAAATCCTGAAGAACTGACTTCTAGACCACTAACTTAATGTGTTACTTCTCATTCAGAAATTTGGCACAATTAGTTACTATAATGGTGAAGTGAATGAAGCATGGCATCTGAATAGTGATTGGGATTACACATGCACTATGAGAAGTCAATGGAGTACAGCTGGACACAGGTTAACCCTGCAGGGGAGTTACCATGTGGCACACATGACTAGACCTAGTTCATGGGAAAAAAAAAAAAGCCCAACTACCATGAGGTAAAGCTCCCCAAAGAGCAAGAGGATCCACGAGTATGATCCAAGACTGAGGAAGAAATTTCACTATCCATATGACCAGTCTTATCAACAACTATACCTCTGTCCAATTCCTAACACCACTCTATCAGCAGCAGCCTTTTCAAATAAGAAATGGTCTAGAGGGAGTCTGCAAAGATGCTATAATTGGAAAATATGAGTCTCACTATATCTGGTGGTGCCACTTCAGAGCTCAACAATGGTAATATCTGTGGGAAAGGCTGTGCAGCTGAGATGCAGGGGTGTGAAAGAGCAGCAGGTGAGCTCTTTCCCTTGCTGAAGAGGGGATCTTCTGGCTAACAGGCCCACACCATATTCTGGATTCCATTTCCCTTACCTATTTCATCAAGGAGTTCCTGGGAAGGTGGAGGTAGTTCATCAATACACTCTGGCAAAGGAGAATCTGATATCTCTTAAAAATTAAAAAGAAAAGGGAAGGGGTAAGAATGATTAATTTAATCTGTTGGTCTAACAGAGAATGAACAGTCAAGCTCAAATGATATTCCTGTTGGCACTAGTCCTTCAAAGACTGACCTAGGCTTGGCAGACCTATACTGTATGTTCTCCTTCACAATGAATGGCCCAACAATGAAGTAACAAACAATAGAAAATGAGTCTCTTTCTCAAGAAAGCCCAGCTGAGGCTCAGACAGACCATGTGGGAGTGGCTATACTCCAGAGCAGACACTTTTGAATTGTCAAGTTGTAGAACAAAGAGTGCTAAATGAGAGTCAAGAACCCTTGGCTCAAATCCAGTCTCACACATTTAATATTTTACTGTAACCTCCCAAATCCTCACGGTCCTCATCAATAAAATGGGGATAACAATACATGCACGACTTACCTTACAGGATTGTCATGAGGAAGGACTTGTGTTGGGGTTGGGATAAATAGTGGTGATGGGGTTGGGATCTAGACCCCAGAAAGGGAAAACCCTGGACTTTCCCACATGGCCAAATCTATGGTGTTCCCCTGAGGCTATAATCCCATCAACTGGCCTTTCACTGTGGCTACACCCAATCTCCCCTCCATTGTTTTACCTCCCTATGGCCCCTGGCCATTTCCCACACTCAATCCTAGCTAGGCTCCATTGTCCAGGTCCCAGGAGTTCTGTTTACCCCAGTTTACTGGCCACTCCCACCTAGATCTCCTTAGACCCCTCCTCCAGTCACCCCAAACTACTTGGCCACTCCTAGGTCCCTCCCACAGGCTTTCTGTATATAAGGTCCATCTTGGCTCCATTAAGATGCTCAGATTCTTAAAATCTAGCCACTGCTGAGATTCCTATAATCTAGCCAATAGCTTTCTAATGTTCAGACTCCTTAAGAGTCTGCCCAATATGACAGATGTTCTAATAAACCTTGTCTTTGGCTGAAAGAAGGCTTAGGTCGAATTCTTTCGGGCAGGACCCGTGTATTGTGATTTTGGGGTCCCAGGACCCCCTGAACCCCTAAATTGCATCAGTGGGAGGGACTACGCCCATTATTTCATATAGGAAACTCCTATTATTAATGCAGATTAGCACCTCCTCTGCAACTTAGAGTCACTCACTGGACATTGAAAGATTACATGCTGTAAAGGAAATGGACAAAACCTGGGAGCTGGGAACCTGAGGGAAACATCTTCCCAGAAACAGTAGCCTTAGAGGTCAAAGAAAAGTGGCCTGTAAGGCTGTATAAGGCAAACTGATTCTATGTTAAAGAGAATCCTTCACTATCTTAGGCCTCAGCCTGGCAAGACAGTCTGATGAGACTGACTACTGGGAAACACTCTTGCCCTAACAGACCTGATCTTGGGCAACTCCAAAGTTATCTGACATCCCATCCTTTTTATTTAGTCTCCCACATAAGGAAAGTGACTGGGCAGCCTAACCTGAAAACTTCAATGCTGTCTGTCCTAAAGCTGCTAAAATCATCTATGTGTCTGTATATCCCTCTGCTTTGTTATCTACCTGGCAATTGCCATTCAGCTGATGATAATCAATCTTTTTTATCTTCTAGTCTTGCCTCTTGATTTACTGACCTCCAGTCCAACAGACCTGGGTAGGAAAAGTCCTCTGCAGAAAGATCTCAGGATCTCTGGGCTAAAGAATTCTGCTTAGGGTTACACAGTCAGTATGTGTCAAAGGCCAGGCCTTAACCCAGGTCTTTCTGGCTCTGATGTTAGCTCTCTTTTCACTACATAAACTGCCTCTATAGAAATACGAGTTATTATTGTCATTCCCTCATTGGCATGTTTCTCATGCTCCCAGGATCTAGGTGCTTCTCCCTCTCTCAGGGGCCCCAGGGGAAGAGAAAGGAACATTTGCTTTTAAGATAAGGTTGAATCTGAGGTTGGGTTTGCTAGAGAAGCAGCCCAGCATAAACTGACCAGGGATAAGCAAGGACTGGCAAACACTTAACAGGTCATTGTCTTTTAGGGGAAGCTCCAATAAAAGCCGATTCACAACAAAAATAAAAAATCAGTCACAAAAACCTCATCCTTCCCAGTAAACTTCTAAGCAGCTTTACCAAATACTCCAATCTTTAAAAGCAGAATATTGTTTTAAAGGACAGACAATATGAGAACTCCCTTAGTATTCCTTAATATTTTGTGTTGCATTTGTCAGTCAACTAGCATGTTCCAGGCACTGTGTTAAGCATTTCAAGTTTAAGCATAATACCTTTCTGTGATCTGCTTTGCTGAGTGGTAGGAAGTAGTTTCCTAGATTCTGTTTTGGCCTTGGTGATGGAAGAACCAGGTCCACTGAATGTGGACAAACTACCCCGTAACTGATAAAAAAAAAAAAAAAACCAAAAACAAAGCATTGGCCTCATGCTAAATAAAATAAACCTATGTAGGACACTTCTGAGATTTAACTCAAATTACCACAAGTTGAATAGGACAACTTGGAAGCACACCAGTTTACCCTCCTCTATCTCAAGCAGTAGCCTTCCCAATGCCAAAGAACCAGGGGTGCATTGGTGACAATACAGTGGATACTGTTACACTATAACCTATCACATCTGGCTTCCCATAGTTGTGGGTTTCCACAACTCTTATCATGTACATAAGGATAGGTTTGCTATCTAGCATTTTTAACTTGGCAAGTGCTATCCTTCCACTTTATTCGTGAACAGACTGATATTTCTTGCTAAAGAATGAATGTATGCATACACATACAACGATACTGCCAAGTTGAGGCCAGTTTCCTTAACAATAGAATCTTTGAGAAACTCCTCCTTTTCCCAAAGTAAGTCAATATTCAAACTCAGACTCTCAAGGGAAAGTTGCAAACTCTTCAGAACAAAAGCTCTATAGTCCTCCACTAAGGAGCAGCCTCAGGGTCAGCTTTTTCACTATTTAGAAGACATAGAAAAACTCCTTAACATACCCTTCATGGTTTGAGGGCTCCCCCCATCCCAGGTGCCTGTCACTATTTTGCCTTATATTCCCCTCTAAACTGCTGGGAGGATCTCTTAATGGTTCCAAATTATCCACAGCATTGATCTCAGGCTAAATGGAACAACTTTTGATAGCATCCCAGTTCCTAGGGGTAACAGATTTCCAAGTGCTGAGAAAGAAGAAAGATGAGTACTCTCATTCCATGCTTGCCATGCCATCTAGCCAGTGGTTGCCCTAAAATTACTAGGAATGAGAAACCTGAAGCATCTGAAGAGATTATTTTTTTTATAAAAAAGTAAAGCTGGTGAGCTTATTTTTGGTGTTAGCACTTTCTCTGAAGTGCTTCAGTTGCCCCATCTGTAGTTCTGCTGATGGGGTTGGGATCTGGGCCCCAGAAAGGAAAAACCCTGGACTTTCCCACTTGGCCAAATCCGGTGTTCGCCTGAGGCTATAATCCCATCAACTGGCCTTTCATAGTGGCTACACCCAATCTCCCCTCCATTGTCTTACCTCCCTATTGCCCCCCCCCCCCCATGATGGACGTTCTTTGGCTGAAAGAAGGCTTGGGTCGAATTCTTTTGGGCAGGACCCGCATGTTGTGATTTTGGGATCCCAGGACCCCTGAACCCTTAAACCGCATCATTTTGGTGGCCTGTGCGGGGAAACTGCCTAACCCCAAGTTCTTCTCCAGCCAAGACTGGAAGATATGTAAGCCTCCTCTCCCTCCCTTTCTTGCTCTGCAGTTGGGGTTGCTCTCCAATCACCAAGGCTTGGAGGTGCTTTTCTGGCAGACAGTTAAGAGGCTGTCTAGCACTGGGCCTGATGCTCTCAGGCTCTCGGTCCACTGGGTCAGTTCAAAGCCATGGTCCTGGATATACCTTCCACAGCATAGAGGACAAGGACGGATGCCCTATCTGGAAGTGTATCTATTAATTCCCTCGGCGTTAGGGAACTGGGAAAAACTGCAGTTGCTTTTTGGTTCCCTGAGGCTTACTTACTCCCTTCCCTCTGTACCTATGAATCCTCCTTCATGGAGGATACAGGGAAAGTTAGAACAGCTAAAAATATCTTGGCAGATTCTGGAGGTTTTGTGATCGATCCTTAAGGAGTTTAGAACTCCTCCTTACAACCCTGGTCACTCTTTTCGCCCACTCCCTTCCCTTGAGTCAAGAGGGTATCTGTTAACCCCTCTCATAGAAGAAGAGAGTTTCACCCTTTACCCCTCACTTTTGATTTCACCCTCCCCCATCTGGAGAAAAGGAAGGAGGGGGGAGGGGCAGCAGCTACAGCATGGGCCCCACTGGCAATGGCCTTGGGCCCTGGGACAACCTTTGCCTGGAAGCATCACCCAGGTTCAGCACATCCTACTCAAGGTAATGAAATTAGCCTCTAAACTTGGGTAAGCACACTCCTTTAAATTAGTAGTTTTAACTGTTAATGATGAGATGTTGATTCTCTGTGTAAAGTAATTTGGAAGTGCATTTCACAAAACTGAAGTCACCTGATTGGTAATGGGTTTGTTTCAAGTTTCAAATTGGTGAACTTTCTGTATCAGTTATGTCAAGCAACTTTTCATAATTTGATTACCACTAAAATAATTTAGCTATTGTTAGTTGTTGTTTCAATGTGTAAACTAGCCAAAAAGCTTGTTTGGGTTATGTATGGCTTGCTGAGAATTTGCAAGTGCATAGAAATCTCTAATGATTGGCTTTTTACATTAGGATAAATTTAAATTTGAGACGTAAATCCTGGAAAAGTTCCTAAACTGTGATTAGTAAAACTTGCTGTTTGAAGTAAAAGCTCATAGGATTTTATTTTGAGTTGTCTGGATCATAATCCATTGATAATCAATAATCCACCATCTTGAGAGAAATGCCACAAGGTACTCAGAGAAGGTGATACTGGTGAGAAGTCAGCACTGGGAAAAGCTGAGAGGACAATTTTAGCCTCAGTCTAAGATGGGATCCTCCTGGCTCAGTTTTCCCATTATGTTCCTTTGAAAGGGAATGTTACCCACCTGGCTATTCCT